TGACTCATGTCGTTCTGTGTTTAGTAAGAACTCTTACTCACTTTTTTATTCTCAACATCTTGTCATTTTTTTCTCAGTCCGTACGTAAGCTTTCTCCTTGGGGGCATGTTTTATGTCGGATAAGAATGATGGGCTAAAGCAGGGCAGGCTTGCCAAATAAAATTTGTTAATGCACGCTAGTTTTTCTTACACACCTTCTTATAAAAAAGACATCTTCTCAGTCGTCTGTATAAAACTACAGCTGCAGGGGACAATGCAATGGAACCTCTCCAGGTTAAAGGTAGTATGGACTTGAAATGCTTGATGACTTATATTATAAGAATGATGTGAAGGAGAAAGCCTAAACGTGTCTGTACAATGACACTGCGTCATATGTACCTATAATCAATCCTCAACTGCCCAACCTCAAATGTCAGTCCAGTGTGCTCTTTCTATGCTTTTGTAAACACTCAACTTGTGCAGCTTAAAATACTGAACTAAGAGTGAATGTAGTCAAATTTGCATCTTATAGCCTACATTTATTTAAACTCTTCAAAATCCTCCATGTAATCTCAGTTCAGCAATATATCTTTTTAAATGTGATTTGCTCTTCTCACTAAGATAATGCACACCACAACTGTAATATGCTCAGTATTTATTCAAAATTAGCTACAGCCCTAACCACAGAATGTAATTAAAGTGTGGTGTTAGTAAATTCTTCACTCCTTAATCAATGGCTCACCTCTGACACATGCACAGATGGCATGGACAAGTTTTCACCTGCATACCCGAGTCTTTTAAGCAGTCTTCTTAGAGCCACAAAATAATATTTTTATGGATAATACCTCTGTCTTTCATGTAGCTCTTTAACCAGCCTAAGCCCAAGGCTGTCGTAACCTCACTAAATACAGGGCAGTTATACTTTTTATTGTTATTATCTGATCCTTTCACGTGCCCGCTGAGACGCATGCAATTAGTCATCACGCCAACAACAAAGTGTAGCTCTCAATGTTGTTTTTAAAATTGTCTATGTTGCCATAGAGTTTGTTCTTTAATGATATCTTGACTGCCTGGAACATTCCTCTGGATTTCTTTTCAGTGTTTGTTTTGACTTTAGGCCTACCTGTTGCTAGCTGAATGCTATCTACAGATAAGTCTATTCAATATTGATTGACATCAGAGAGACAGGGCTTAAGCATGATTTCATCATTTTTTTTTTTTTTAAATGTACGGATACAGCACCTTAGGAAAAGCTATGCTAGTCATTTAACTGTGTTTATAATATGTCTGCTAAGTTTTGCTAATAGCTGTAACTATCAGATTAGCTTTACACAAATATTAGAAAAGGTCAAAACAGCAGGCCTAGCTCTGACTGAAGTTCACTAATGAATACACGATATTTTGTTCTAAGATAATCCAATCACAGACTGTATAAAACATGGTTGTAGTCTCAGTGACATCACCCATGGGTTTCTGAAGAACTGTTATGGAGCCCAAAGATGAACGACGCCATAAAGGAAATATAGTGTTATATTTATGTAACATCTCATGAGCATGATAAGTCATGATTGCAAGCGTATTATACTATTTCACTCGTGCACAAATTACCACTCTCAAATGATAATTTCTGCAAGCTCACTTGAATCAACTTGACTTTTGACACATTGACCTTTGACCTTGGATGGAAATGGCCCATTTATGATTGCTTACTTTCAACGCCATGACGCCAACATGACAGGCCTCCTTCAACCTTGAACTGCACTTTTTTTCCCCTACAACACTGGAGTTTGCAGCTTGAATATAACGAGTGCTGGCTATAGCATTGTATTTATTAAGTTAGCATAGCTTATCTAAGCACACAACGACTACAGCAAGGTGAAAGAGCTAGCCCTGCTTTGATCAAAGGTCTCTAATTTATAAAAATAAAAATAAATTAAAAAAAGCCGACCTAACGACTGCTGGCTGTTGCCCCATATTTATCCAGTAAGCTAAGCTATAGCATAGCACAATGACTGAAACAGGGTGAAACAACTAGCCTTGATCTAACCAAAGTTCACAAGTCTTTTCCTGTCTTTGAGGTGAGCTAAATTAAGCTAACCAGCCACTGGCTATATCTTTGGAACATAAAAAAGTAGTAAAAGTAGTATCACCCTTCTCAACTAACTTTCCCAACATGTTATTAGATCTTTAAAGTTATGAACGAGCCTTTTTTCAGCAGGTGCACAGCTATGTAGGCCTAATTTTTTTTTACATTTTTATCAGACTTACATGATTACAATAGCATGTAATAAACAACAGTGACTTGCTTTAAGGGTAGGCCTAATTGCCATTAATTTAACATACACGCAGACTTTCATAATACTGGGTGTTTTAAAGTTTAAATTAAATAACTTTGTGAACTGGATATGGGTTTTACCCTTTGTTTTTTATGTCATAAAATGCTACAAAACAGAGCTGCTTAAGAGAAACGTATCTTTTAATTGTCACATAAATGATTGCAGACATATTCTGGGACATAGGATTTTCATACAGGGAAATAATCAGGCTAATTTTTATGAGGTTATTTTTGTGTTATATGTAACAGACAAAGAGCAGTGAAATTCTGAATGGTAAAACAAATTAACTTTCCCACCCTCTGAAGGGCGTATGCGTGCACCCCCGTTGGAAAGATATCTCTAGGGATTGACTGGGAGTAAACACTCACTATCTAAAGGCTGTTTCCGTTGTAGTTTTGGCTTACTTTAGTGGCTATTCATCAGAGATTGGCGCTACTCTCTACCTCCAACACAGTCCTGTCAGTCGCACCTCCCACGCTGTGAGCTCACGGTCACACCCACATCGATGTGCCTAGTCACACCTGCCTATGATATCTCCAAAATGTTTCCCATGAAACCAGAGACTCTTATCCCACTTCGGTCCCATTTCACAGTCTTGCCATTTTCCAGTTGAATGAAAGATTGCGCAGGACATGTGAAGGCTCGTCACTGCCTTGCTGCAGGCTGATGTTTCAACAAGATGAATACTACAGGTTGTAAATCCCATGTGTCACAGTGTTCTAAGACCCTTTGAATGCTGTATACACCAAATGAAGAAAAAGGTATCCAGATGTTGTAACTCAGAAGACCATACATCTAATCTATTTTTGGACTGCTTCTCTAGTTTAGAGTTTTAGTCATCACTACTCTACATGCATCACAAAGGCGTCACTTTGTGGCCCAGCATTTCCAGAACTCTTTCATCTCTGTCACACACTCTCTCTTCTTCCTGAAGTTTCCTATAATCACAAGTCTGCACAGCATGATCAATAAAATTAAAGAAACTGAGATCTGCAATGAAACTAGACTAATTTCTCTTGGCTGTGCTGAAACAAGTCTGCCATGAGGATTCTTTCTTAACATGGTTAGAGTTTTATATTGCATCAGCACTTAATTTTCATTTTCAACAACCCAATTCACCATGGCAACCCCTCAGATGTTTCATGTCACCCTTTGTAGAGGGCAGACCTTTAGGTTGGGGAGCAGTGGACAAAATAAGAAGTCAAATTTTGTTCCACTTCAACCTATCAGTTACAGCTTAAACATTGATGCATCAATAAATCAACAATGTTGCAGGGGCCATTTTATTCTAAGGCTACTTTTGATTTTTTTAGGGAATTTTACCAAAAGATAATGATGTACTTTTACTTTTGGGGCAGCAGTAGCTCAGTCTGACTTGGCTGACCTTGCTCAGGAACAGGGGGGTCACTATTTGTCTAATAGACAAATTTTGGACAATTAGGACTGGTTGCTGGAGAGATGCCTCCCTGAGCACTCCAGAGCTGCCCTTTAGCAAGCCACAGAGCCCCCAACTGCTGAGGGTGCTTTCTGTGTGCAGCCCCCTCACTGTGACATCTCTCCTTTAATGCATGTCTACAGGATACTGTTTATGCGTGTATTTCAGGCCTATACATTAGTGAGGCATTACTGTGAAAAAAGTACATCAATTTGTTCTTCTTTACTTTTAATACAAGAGTCCTCCTTTTAATGTGTGCTGCATTTTTACATGTATACAGGTTATTTTATTTAAGTTCATCCGATATGTTCTTTCATCATACATGCATGGTTTTAGTGTTAAATATGTTATCATAATTAATATAGTTATCTATAAATATGGCAACATTTGAAAACTATTACACACACAATTTAAATTAAAGCAAATCATTTTTTCATAAAGGCACTTTGTTCATGCTTTATTTGTGGCTTTTGTTAATCTATCATGGTTGTGGATTCAGAGTTAAGATTTAAAATTAAGCATGCTCCCTTTACCTCACAATAGATCTATGTTTTAACTCTCAAGCTTGAATCCATGCCTAAAGTGGACCTTATACAATCCTAGAACAACTCATACGTTATAAAGAAATCCAAATTAAAAGTATCCTTCAATCACACCTCTCATTCAGCCTGAACATAAAACTTCCATTTATTACTCAATGAGTCCCCTGGTGGCCAGACAAGTAAAGGGCAAAATGAGCAGTACTCCAGAAACCATCCAATAACCTGCTGTTTGTTAGAAATATGAACTGAAAATAATATACCAGTGCGAAGTATGGAATATAACTTAATGTTTTGTATGACTTTTATATCCTCTCATAACTAGTTTTATATTACCAGTCTACTGAATTAATTGGCCTGATTATGTCGGATCATATGAAAAATAAATCTATATTTTTTGGGGAGGTGACTGCTTTATAAAATTAAGACTATTTGCCGAACAATTAAACTTTTATTAGACCGGAAACGACCACGTCTTGGCACAGGAGCGTGTATGAAATATTTGTCTGGTGATGGAAATTCAGCTCAGGAATGCATTTTCCTCCTCGGTGTGTGCGTCGCGGATATTCCTCTGACTGGCTGTGAGGTAAGACAACAAGGCCGTCCCTCTCTGCTGCTGCAATCCTATTGGTCCGGTCCAGAGCTCTGGAATGTCTTCGAACTGTTTAAATAGCTCTAGTATCGATAGGATAAGTCAGAAGAAAAATTCAAATCACCGGAATATATCCCGGACAGGGGCTTAAAGTGATTTTGCAACTTTATACCCCAAACCTCACGAGCTACTGAAAAAAACAAGAGGAAAAGAAACGGGAGAAATACTGGGAGAAGAAGTGACTTTTTCTGCTTTTTAAAAAAAAAAACTATTTACAGAGAGAATTTCATTTTAAAGGTTTGTAGAATTTTTTTTTTTTAAATTAATAATAATGATGACAAAATATCGCTTTAATGTGGTCCCTAACGGTGTGTTTTCACATTCTTTGGTTCTGATAGGGATCACTTGAGATTTCAAGATGATGCTGTGTGGCATCGTTTTGCTGTTGATGCTTTGGAGTTGTGAGAGCGCGAGGTTGGCAGGTGAGAATGGAAAATGTCTGGTGATAGTCTTTTTTTTGTATTTAGGCTACTAACTTTTAACGCTGGACTTTAAAAAACTACACTAAATTATTGTACGGTATTGCCTTACTCTTGAATATTTGCACGCTCTTGTATAGTCCTATCCTATGTGCGTGCAATCGTTGGAGATTCCCCGTTGTTGTGCGTTTTTACGCACATTGTCATTATGGTAGAAAAAGGACTTAACATGGTTACTCTTTTCTTTCCTGTGACCGCAGAGAGTCGGGATGATAACAGTGTTTATGACTTATTCGATCTGGCCCGGGTAAACAAGAGACATCATGGAGTGAGTCTGGTCAAAGGCGCAGATCCTTACAGCCCTGCATACAAAGTCCTGAACGCAGACCTGATCCCCCCGGTCCCCGACAGCTCCCTCCGGGACCTCCTTGACTCTATCCAGACTGAGAGGGGCTTTCTCCTCCTCGTCAACCTGAAGCAGTTCAAGAAAACCAGGGGCAGTCTTTTGACCATCGAGAAAAATGACGGATCTGGACCAATTTTCGAGATAATTTCCAACGGGAAGGCGAACACTCTGGATGTCTTCTTCTCCACCTCTGACCAGCAGCAGCTGGTGTCCATTGAGGATGCGGATTTGGCCTCAGGGCACTGGAAGAACATCACTTTGTTCGTTCAGGACGACCGAGTGCAACTTTATGTCGGCTGTGAGGAGATCAATGTGTCTGAGCTTGATGTGCCAATCCAAAGAGTGCTGTCTCAGGAGGTGGCTGACATTGCCAGGCTCAGGATTGGAAAAGGAGCAACAAAGGACAAATTCATGGTAAGTTTTTAAAAAACATTTAACTCAGATGTGTAAAAACACTGTATTATTATGAAAAATATAAAGCCTATCTATTTTTTATGTCCTGTAGGGGGTTCTTCAAAATGTGCGCTTTGTATTTGGGACAACCCTTGACGCCATACTGAGAAATAAGGGATGCCAGAGTGGAGGTATGTCTGAAATATATAGTATATCGTCATGTTTAGCTGTATAAATAAATTAAATATATTGATTGCCCTAGGGGGATTTTAATCTGCTGCAAAATACAGAAGTGCTAATTAAGATGCAAATATTTAATTGAGTATCTGTGAAGAGAAATTCATTTGTTTTCTGTCTTCTCCCCCCATGCAGCTGCCTTAACTGATGTCATGACCCTTGACAACCCAGTCAATGGCTCCAGTCCTGCCATTAGGACTGATTACACCGGCCACAAAACCAAAGGTGAGACTCTCCTTCCTAAAGACACAGGTCTCGACTCCCTGCTACTGCTCAGCTGTAAACTTTAGGATGTTAACTAATTCATTTGACACTTCTCTCCTCCATTCAGATCTGCAGTCTGTCTGCGGCTTCTCTTGTGAGGACCTCGCCGGCATGTTTAAAGAGCTCAAGGGACTCGGTGTGGTTGTTAAAAAGCTGTCCAATGAGCTGCGCAAAGTGGTAAGCTCCAAGGGCCACCAGGGTCTGCTATATGTCATCATTCACCCGCTCTTTTTCCTGTTCTCTCCAGCTTTCCCTCTGCATCCACATTCTCAGTGCTGTCACTAGTCACTGTAATGGCAACCCCTGGCCAAGTCCTTAATGAGTGCCATGTGAATACACAAATATGTTTGGCTGTCGGTCACATTTGCACTGCTTTGCTAGAGTCAAGCAATATCTTAATCATGGTGTCAGTCAGTGATTCATTTGTATTGGAACTTTGGCAAAAAGAAAGTTTTCCATTCTGAGCATCCTTTTCCCTCTCTCTCACCCCCTCTCTCTCCCCCAGTCTGAGGACAGTACTCTGCTGAAAAATCAAATGAATGTCTACAATGGCATCTGCATTCACAACGGCATAGTGCACAAAGACCAAGATGAGTGGACCGTGGACGGCTGCACCGAGTGCACCTGCCAAGTAAGTATGACACCTTCTGGAATACAACCTTCAACCTAAGGCAGAAATAAGCTCAGGGAAGATGTCAAAGTGTTTCCTGTATTCCTGTTTAATAAAGTGATAATAATGTTAATGCTTGCACCACCCTTTAAAAGCACTCAGCTCCTGTCTGAAAGCCATCAACACTTCTTCTTAACTACTATCAAACCAGCATGGGGTCCTTTCCCAAAAGCAACATCCAGTGGAGGTTGCTCACAGGATGTGTAATTAGTTAGGTGGTCGCACCTGTTTGTGAGGATGTTTTATTTTTCCATTTCAGCAGGAGAGTAATGTCCCTGATAAAGTTCTCTCAATTGGGAAATATAGCAATTAGGCTTGGAACATTACCAGTAGCCAGTCAACCAGTCAGCTTGCTCATTATTCTTGTACTAATTTGACTGTTCCTTTCTCCAGAACTCTGCTACTGTGTGTCGCAAAATCTCCTGCCCTCTGATCCCGTGTGCTAATGCCACCGTGCCTGATGGAGAATGCTGCCCTCGCTGTGGAACACGTAAGCTTCTCTTTTAACATCCTGCACCATTTTCTTTATTTCTTTCTTAATAGCTTTTAAGAAGGTAATGATCCCTGTTTCTTCGCCCCCCCCCCCACAGCGAGTGATTATGCAGAGGATGGCTGGTCCCCTTGGTCTGAATGGACCCCTTGTTCTGTGACATGTGGTCGTGGCATCCAGCAGCGTGGACGTTCTTGTGATCGCATCAACAGCAACTGTGAGGGCACCTCTGTCCAGACCCGTGACTGCTACCCCCAGGAATGCGACAAACGCTGTAAGTCACTCAGCATTTTTCGTACAACCATTGTGATGATAAGTGTTCTCAAAATGTGAGATTCAGAAATTAATTGTGAATGTGTTGCTCACAGTCAAACAGGATGGTGGTTGGAGCCACTGGTCTCCATGGTCTTCATGCTCTGTGACCTGCGGTGAGGGGGTCATCACCCGGATACGCCTCTGCAACTCTCCAACACCCCAAATGGGTGGTATGGACTGCCAAGGACAGGGACGTCAAACTGAAATCTGCCAAAAGTCGCCTTGTCCTAGTGAGTTCATTTCAGCAACATATAATGAACACTTCATTAATTAGATCAATCGAACATACTAAATGTTGTTTTTCTGATGCCTTTTAGTCAATGGAGGTTGGGGACCCTGGTCACCCTGGGACAGCTGCACTGTTACCTGTGGTGGTGGAATCCAGACCCGCACACGTCTCTGTTCAGACCCTGTTCCCAAATATGGAGGAAAAGATTGTGTTGGTGATGCAAATGTGTCTCAAGTGTGCAACAAGCAGGACTGCCCTATTGGTAAGTAAATAAGTAAACAAAATATTAAAAAATAAGTTATGATCCACAACAGAATATCCTTTTAAAAGTACAATTTTATTTTCTCTATAGATGGTTGTCTCTCCAGCCCATGCTTCCTTGGCACAAGATGCACAAGCTTCCCAGATGGCTCTTTCAGGTGTGGCAAGTGTCCACTTGGATACACTGGAAATGGCATCACTTGCAAAGACATTGATGAGTGCACAGAGGTCCTTGATGCTTGCCATACACACAATGGAGTCCATCGTTGTGAGAACACAGAGCCCGGTTACAACTGTTTGCCCTGCCCTGCGCGTTTCTCCGGCCCTCAGCCTTTTGGCAGAGGAGTGGAACAGGCAACTGCTAAAAAACAGGTTTGAGTCTTTTCTTACATGCTGTGCTTGAGGCTTGTAGGCTTACCGCTTGCAGTCTTTTTAATTCTCTGTCATTTTCTCTAGGTTTGTAAACCCCGTAACCCTTGCCAGGATGGTAGCCACGACTGCCATAAGAATGCAAACTGTATCTACTTGGGCGTCTACTCTGAGTCCATGTTCCGCTGTGAGTGCAAGCCAGGTTATGCTGGGAATGGCCGTATTTGCGGAGAGGACACTGATCTTGACGGATGGCCAAACACTAACCTGGTGTGTGTGGAGAACGCCACCTACCACTGCAAAAAGGTAGCCAGACCCCACATGGATAGAGTTACCAAAGGCCATTATTATCCATCTGGACTATATTATTGTGATGATTGTCTGCTTAACCACTCTTTTGTCCCCTCATAGGATAACTGCCCCAACCTTCCCAACTCTGGCCAGGAAGACCATGACAAAGATGGCCTGGGTGATGAATGTGACAGTGATGATGACAATGATGGGATCCCCGATGATAGGGTGAGTCATCACAGCACTTCATTTTAGTCCCAAACTGTGCTTCTCCAAAGACCAGACATAGCAATCAGGAGCAGCCATCCTTCCTTTGGGCACTAGGAATGTCAATTCCCCCTGTTTGTGTGCTTCCACCATAGAGTGAAAGTGGAAAGCAAGTAGCATAGGAATATTCTAGTTTGATTCCAAAATAAGGCAGAATTGAAGACAAGGTGGCGTGTTGCCCATAATTCTTAGTGTGGATTTGGAAAGTTGGGAAAGAAAAATGCTGTGGTAAAAATTACCAGCTTGCTTCCAGTGGAATATCACATTCCAGCAAAAGCTCGAGGAAAAATAAGCCTTTAACAGAAGAGCTTTGTTCCTAAAAATATCACTTCTTTGAGTAATAGCCAATTTCAGAAATGTAACCCTGCTTATGATTCTCAAATCGTAGGACAACTGCCCAAGAGTGTACAACCCTGCCCAGTATGACACAGACAGGGATGATGTTGGCGACCGCTGTGATAACTGTGTGTATGAGGTGAACCCAGACCAAACTGACACTGACAACAATGGAGAGGGAGATGCCTGTGCTGTGGACATTGATGGGGATGGTGAGTGTTTTCTCATGACTCTTTACAGGTTGTCTTTAATGCCTTTCTTTATCCTTAAAAATCACTTGCAAAGCCCTGATATCTAAGAAAAGTATATTTTTTTCCCAACAGGCATTCTGAACGAAAACGACAACTGTCCATATGTTTACAATGTGGACCAGAGGGACACTGACAGGGATGGTGTGGGCGACCATTGTGACAACTGCCCTCTGGAGCACAACCCTGATCAGGTAACATTAGAACTCATTTCACCTGTCAAAATAAATAACCCTAACCCATAGCATCGGTGCCAAAAAATGCACCTGCTTTAATGAAACATGGAATATGACATGAATTTGAGAATAAAGAATGTAATTTTCCCTCTTTACTCCCCCTTTGAAAAATAAATGAATTGGTAATTTTTCTATGGTAAAAGATACCTTGTTAATAGGACAATACTTGCATGCCTGAAAAATAGGCCCAACATATCAATCTCATCCTGAGTAGCACCTTTCATACTGAGGCTGGAGAAAAACAAGGAGAGTAATTTAAAGTAAGCAGGAGTCTAACAGTGTAAGAGCCTGTCTTTGGAAAGTCTCATCATACAACAATTTTTTACAGGTTGACTCAGACTCAGATCTCATTGGAGACAAGTGTGACAACAACCAGGACATTGACGAGGACGGTCACCAGAACAACTTGGACAATTGCCCTTACATCCCCAACGCCAACCAGGCTGACCATGACAAAGATGGCAAGGGTGACGCCTGTGACCATGATGATGACAACGACGGCATTCCTGACGACAAAGACAACTGTAGACTGGCCTTTAACCCAGATCAAGTGGACTCTGATGGTAAGTCATTCTTTTAATGTTGTGTCATGTGTGGTCATTTAACTTACATATACAGTCTGAGTTTTTTGGATATCCTCAGTGGTTTGATTTGTCCTCATCCATGGTTTCCATCTTTTTAATTTCCACATTTATATTGTCCTCTCAGGTGATGGCCGTGGTGATGTGTGCAAAGACGATTTTGACCAAGACAACGTTCTTGACATCTATGATGTGTGTCCCGAGAACTTTGCCATCAGTGAAACAGACTTCCGCAGATTCCAAATGGTTCCTCTGGACCCCAAGGGCACCTCCCAAATTGACCCCAACTGGGTGGTGAGGCATCAGGGCAAGGAGTTGGTACAGACTGTCAACTGTGATCCTGGCATTGCTGTTGGTATGTATTACAATAGACAGACGCTCACTGCAAGTACACTGCAAGTAGACAGGAAACCGATTCTAAACCACCTCTGTCTTAATTCAGGTTATGACGAGTTCAGCGCAGTCGATTTCAGTGGGACATTCTTCATCAACACGGACAGAGATGACGACTATGCCGGATTTGTGTTTGGCTACCAGTCCAGCTCACGCTTCTACACAGTCATGTGGAAACAAGTCACACAAACTTACTGGTCTCACACACCCACAAAAGCTCAGGGCTACTCTGGCCTGTCAATCAAAGTGGTCAACTCCACCACTGGGCCTGGCGAGCACCTGAGAAATGCCCTGTGGCATACCGGAGACACAGCAGGACAGGTGAGAGGAGATTCAGTAACTCAGGATTCAAGTAATACTTAAATTTAATGTTTGACAAATTCTAACCTTCACATTTCATCCTTTTCAGGTACGCACTCTGTGGTATGACCCTAAGAAGATTGGCTGGAAGGACTTTACTGCCTACAGATGGCATCTAATCCACAGACCTAAAACTGGACTGATTAGGTGAGCTTAAAACCGACCAAGTATTACCTTGCATTCAATTTCATATCTGCTAGTTTTAAGCTATTGTTGAAATGAGCTAATGTGATTAAATTTTCTCTTATAGAGTGGTCATGTATGAAGGCAAGAGAATCATGGCCGATTCTGGAAACATCTTTGACAAAACATATGCAGGTGGACGACTTGGCTTGTACGTCTTCTCTCAGGAGATGGTTTACTTCTCAGACCTCAAATATGAATGCAGAGGTAAGCACAATAGTGTTGGTTTGAAAATTCAAAGAATGTTGGTTTTACCATGCAAGACTATATTTGTAAAACCTCTTTCTTGAATTCTTTCAGATACATAAATGGACCACAGAGACTTCCAGACAGAATCTGCCTGTCAGTATGAGTATTTAATAAAAGGAACTGGACCAATATCTCTTTAACTTTTTCTGTTGAAAAAATGCACATTGGAGGAATGATGAGCAGGAGAGCTGACCTCTGGACTTTGAAAGCCAAATGATGATTCTGCACCACTGCACCAAATTCAAATAGTGAGTGCAGCTCTGCTCAGAAGAACGTGGCCCTCTCACGTTGCCGTTCTGAAATGCATTGAAAAGGGGCCAAATTGTATTGCTTTGCACACCTGAACTGTTGTTGGGATTCCTCTATGGATGAGGGACAAAAGGAAAGAGTGTTCCATGTTTTTTTTTTCTATTCCTATTTTTGAGCATTAATATACATCTGCTGTGGACTCAAAGATACTTGTGTCAGTATGAAGAAGGTATGGGAGAACTTTTATAGGCAGGGTAATTATACCCTTTGAAGGAACTGTTGAGGGACCATGTATGGACTGACTGTTACTATCAAAGAGAGTGAATGAGTTTGTGTGTATGCGCATGTGTGCCACCCAACAAGCATTTTTATGAAGCCAACCATGTCAATTTTTTTTTTTTTTTTTAATTTGGTTTCTTTAAAAATACTGCTCACCCTACTTCAGTGCAGACCTGGAAATACAAGGTCCTGTACTTAGCCAAGGCTTAGGGCTGGCCCAGAACATTCGTCTTCTCAGGAAAAGAGCACTAAAGGAAACAAGGAGAGCACAAATTCAGGACAGCACAGGGGCCCAAAGCAGTGAACACTGAATACTGCTTTGAAATAGTAATTCTTAGCAAATATTATGTACATATCTCCAATCATGACGGGACAGCTTCAAGGGACGTAAAGAGCATGGGCCAGTCTATTTCCTGCCATGAGTAAACCTATGTTAGTATGGCTGTCTGTATTTACGTACTCATCATAGAGGCTTTAATTGTTGTGCATCTCAGTATCTTGCCAGCTTAAAATGTTGTTAGCAATCTATTACATGTATCCCCCTATGGTAAGATATGGCATTATATTTTACCGAAACAGTAAAAAAAAGTGAAACTATAGGCATTACTTACAGTAACTCTAAATATTCTGCTTCTGCAGTGTGTATGACTAGTGTGCCTGAGCTTGTGTGTACATTTTCTGACGAGGGAAAATTAAAAGAAATCCCTTTATGTACAAATATTACCTCATTGATTCTCTTTTGTATTGAGGCCAGCAATACACAAGAATCAATTGTCTTAGCAATAGAGTATAAATTGGTTGGCTTCTTTTTGTACGCAAGACTTTGTAATCATTTATATGCTGTATATAAGATATTTTTGTAGTGAAAGAAGCCCGAACAGGAACGTAAAGGATTTAAAAGAAATTATGTCTTGACTGTGCTGTGCTATATGTATTTCCTGTGCTTTTTTTTTGATAAATTATTGTTTGTTTCATGTTGAGTTTATTTCATTTGTGTAGATATATGCTATTTAAATAATTTATCTAGAAGCGTAGCCTTATATGGAAGCGTTTCTTGTCTGTATAAACTTATTTGCACACTGACATGAGGATGCCTTTATTTTGTTTTTTGTATGTGTTTTTTTTAATAATTGGTGAAACTTTTCTATAAACTTTGTACTATAGTTTCTACCCAAAGTGCTGTTTATACTCCTTCCTGATATGTTGTAATGTCAAGTGAACAATAAACACTTCAGGAAATAAAATACGTCTCAGTTTTTGGTGACTTTTTTTTCAAAGAGTTTAAAAGTTGAATAGCTCAAGACCTAAAGTTCCTTCTCAGCCATTGTTTTTTTAGACATCTTCTTGGATTGAGGTCTTCTCTTTAGAAAAGCAACGGAGCCGAGCCATGCTGTGTCAGGCAACTGGAATCCATTAGTTGAGTCTACTGAAGCCTTGGAGAAAGGGAGTATCCTTGGGACTCAATAGAAGGGAAACTCAACATGAAGTATAACCCACTTAAACAGCACATCGAGATCTGATTACATATTACACAGGCATCTCCTTACACCTTCAAACGACAGCCCTCCACGTGAGAGGCAGACAGAAGGATTTTTTTGCACCAGGCTGGGGGAGAGAACGTAAGTTATAGCTGCAGTCCACTCTCACCAGCAGGACTGTGAATTAAAATTCCAAAGTTTTCATAAAAATGTCTCAATAAAACTTGTCAAAGTGGATGAATCATCGACGGACTACAAAGAAAGACCTTACCCAGTATATCACCAGTAAACAGAATTCAGACTGCTAACTGAGATATTTCACATGGACCAGAAAGAGCTGAAATCTCAGGCACCAATGAGGCATTCTGCCAGAAAAAGCCAGACAGTCTCAGTATGCCACAGGTCTCCTTACATTAGAAGTGACCTCATTCTTACCACACTGAGCTCACCAAGTTTCCATTATCCCCATATGAGTGGTATATCTACCATACTGAAATTACACTGTCAATTGCACAGATGGGATTAGTAACTTGGGTATGCTACATATGCTGCACAAAAATCAAGGGATTGTTATGAGTGAAAAAATAAAGTCTGTCTTGAAACAGTTTGCATGTGCTCTTGGCCTTGCTCTGAGGTGTCTGTTTAGATTCCCTGACAGATAGTGCAGCACGGCTACCTGAAAGCAGGGCTCTGGTTTGGGGGGGTTTGACCTTAAAGGCTCACCTGGCCAACGTGTTTTCAGTCCAGAGGAATGAGAGATAATTCCTGCCGTTTACACAGGGTCAGCAGCATGCGGTGGGGTGAAGAGTGAGACGAACAGACCTGTAGGTGTGCAGTGCCATGAGAGAAAGGACAGGTAGGACCTCTGGGCCGGGGTCAGCCAGGTGCAGACTAGTTACTCACACTGTGCAAGCAGGAGCAAAGAGGAGTCGTGACGACAGCTACACAACTCTCCTAAACAAACTAAAAAGCATAAATCTCAAAGCGGGTCGTCTTTTGACGGTGGGTTCTTGTTTTATTAAATGAAAATTTGAGTGGTCACGAAGGGTCCGATTTCAGTGGATCCTTCTAATCTGACCCACTCTGAAGCAGATCACCTATAGAGGAAGGAATGAAAGGAATGCTTGGAGCTGAGCTGGATCTATCACTCAGTGGCGCAGACTCCCATTACTAACTGAGACATGTCACAATTCAAAGAAGAGGAGAAAGTTATTACAATAAGGATTTTCAGACTTCTCTAAACAGACCCGCTGCTGTCAGCTGAGCATATTTGTGTGCAGTAGAACATTCTGTGGCCACCGTACCCTGTTATTACACTTAATGACAGCAATTTTCTGTTCTCATATTATGATACTCAGGTTAATACAAAGGGTGGCCCCGCTGCTTAGCTTCCTCATGCAGAGCCATTTACACAAATAAAAACAACAGGATGCAATCCAGCTGTATAATAAAAACGGAGACAGATTAGGATCAAAATAACAGTTTTATCCAAGGTTTAGCCATATACCAAAGGTTAGAGCTATAATTTATCCAATCCTTACAATTGTGAAACATGTTAATTATTAGTTATATTACTGTAGACATAGAGAAAAATGTTGTTACATCTACATCCATTAAAAGCTGTACAGAACAATTATTATCGTAGGAGAAAATCTCTTCTGATAATGATTGTGTCTCTTATTTGAACATCTTTAGATCCAGTTATTGTTCTCTGGCTACATCACAGTGATACAGCATCTTTTGGTACGCATTCTGAAAGCAGCGGTTCAACTGGGACACGGTGTCTGAAGATCTTGGGCCCAGGCCTTTGTTAGTTCACATTCATCCAGCAGACTAAGTAACTGCTCCTCTGTGAGGTCCGGTGACTCACTCTGCAGGAAAACAAAAACGTATGATCTAGGATTAAAGCTAGTTTTTACACTGTTGGGTTGAATGCATTTACTAAGTTAAGTCAAACAACCAACTCTTTTACAACATTTCAAACATGCACAATAAACATCTGACAACTTGGTTGAGGTGATATGTTTGTATAATTGCAAAAGTGAAGACAGAATATTTTTTAGCTTGACGTCTGATGTTTCCCTGACACCTTCTCTACATTTGTTTCCATTATGAACATCCTTAACTGGTCTTATTCTTGACAACTGCAGACAACATATTGTATTAACACACGACCTGTGATAACAGTGGCAGTTCATAATAATATACTTAACTCCCTGTGCCTAGTTGGAAGCTGTCCGGGAAAAAAAAAAAAACCCTTCCAGTTGGATGTTGCTGTTGTTTTTGTACTGATAAGTAGAGTCTAACCCGCTCTGGGAGTGCATGTGAGTTCAATGGAAGACGCCAACCTTCTGAAACTAGGTTATGAGGAAACACATCTAAATAAATGTCAATATCTATTCATGAGAGTGATGGGATATCTGGCAAGTGCAAGAGCAATTTCTAATACCAAATTTTTTGGCCACTTAAATCTTTAATTCCCTTATCGTTCCATTAATAAGGTGAGACATGACTAATTTACTCTCTGCAAGAGTGCTCATACACAATGGCCTCTTTCGTGTGAGAATATAGAACTTTATTTAGACAGCTGCAACTGAACAGTCAGTTTGTTCCAGTGATATCAACTCATTACCTTTCATAACACGAGCATAAAGCCAAAAACGTGTGCAGGAACACTAGACCTTACATGTCTGCGTTGTAAAGTAATCACTGTCTTCATTCTTCCTGTGAGTCAGAGTGTAACTCAGATTTCTAGCTGTTATCTACGCTGAACTGTCCATGATGTTAGAGATGGGATGTCCTGACCCATTTATTCCGTCCATTATCCTGATGAGAGGTGTGGTCAGTATTCAAAGTGTTCATTGTTCTTTTTGCCATTTGGGGAACAAGGTCAAAAAATCAAGTGTGCTGTGTCAAGCCTAGTTGATAACGATGGGAAGATGGGCAGTTTTAAACTTTTATTTCGTACACACTAAATAGACAAGGTTTAAGGAGGTAGATGTTGAGCTAATAGGTGCTGGCAGGATGATTTTTCAATTATTATTTTTTACATTTGGACACAACCATGCTAGCTCTTCAATCGCCTTGCAGTCCTAGTCGTAGAGCTACTACATGCTAGCTGCTGTGAGTGGAATTGACACATCTTATTCCTGGCAAGAAAGCTAACAAGAATATTTTCCCTAAGTGTCTTTCCCAGATACTAAGTTCAGTTTGACATCAAATTAAATTCATTTAGCAGCCACATGGAAACATATTAAAAACCTGTACCAATTTAGGCTCATGTTACTTTTTTTCTCAAACCGAGATGATATTTTTCCCTTGCAGTTTGTTTTCAACTCTTCTCTGCCTCCCGCTGACTCACTCAGGACAAAATCACATTCCAGTGTCTCATCTATCCCCACTAGCTGAGGCTAATACTCTTCATCGATCATTTATATTCCTCCGCTGACCAGACCCCCCTCTGAAACTCCTCAGCCTGTTGACAGGACCCAAGCTGCTGATATAGATCTCTACCAGACAATCCTGTCCATGTTCAAAGTCATGCAGCATGTAATGACCACCCTGAGGTCATGGCAGGTTGGCCCATGTTACTCATTTCTGACCTCCTGCAATTATCCAGAAACTGCACATCTTATAGTGTTAACCTAATGTTATAATGCTATGGATTGGATTGCTGAAAACTAAATTTCAGTGTATTTGACATGCAATGACCTTAAGTATCTCTCTATCTATCTATCTATTTATCACATTCCAGCCTGCAACCCCCTGCAGTGCTGCATGCTTTTGTCCTTTGACATGCATGTAGCAAGCACCTTTGTATAGTGAAGAAAGATGAACCAGGCCTGTTTTTGTGGATTGACTTCATTTTGGCAAATCCATCTAACCATATGGAAAAACAAGGATAGGTATCTTCCCTTTCATATTATTCTAAAGTAAGTTTTAAAAACTATCATTTAGATCCTACCTGCAAAAAAATATATATTTGCTTTGTATAGCAGCAATTTTACCATAAATGTGCACAAATATAAGCCATTACAGCACCTTGAGAAATATTGTGCATGAAAAGAATCAAAGACATAAAAAAGCAGTGGTCAGTTAGAGTCATGTGAGTGTTGCCGTGTTCATGATTGGGGTAATAAAGAAGAAGTGTCCCACCGGCAGCAGCATTAATGGCCAGAAATGCCTTTAACCAGCACCAGCCAGCTGGACTGAAACTTAAGTTAGCCTTTCCTACAGAGAGAAAAGAAAAGAGATGGAATAAAGAGTGTTTTTTATTGCTGTGGCAAAATGCTGCGACCCTTTAAAGCTGGTTGACCTCAGGTGACCTTAATGCTCTGGAGGCCGAGGGTGTATGTGGGCTACTGATGTGTGTTTTCCTCTCCGACACTCTGACTGAGCCAGTTAAACTAAAGTGTTACAGCTTCATCAGCTCTTACAGTCCAGTCCTTCGTACATCACATTCATCTTGTAAACAGAAGAGCTGTGAATTTAGGAAAGCTGTCAAAGAGAATACACATTATGTTTGATTGAGATGTTTCCAGGGAGTTCCTTTCTTCCGTTGGGGTTATCACCGAAACAGGAACAGCAGTGCTGAGCCTGATTGAAAGTTTTTAAACACAATGTTTTTTATTATTCTGAATCTAAAAGGAAACGGACGGATCAAGTGAAAGGTGATAAAACCTTTTGTCAGAACTGGACAATCTTTTGTTTTATAGCTGCCATGAGAATCTTTTGTGCAGGCATCTTTTGTAAAAGAAGTACTTAAATTATTTAGTGTTTATTTTTTGATGACTATTGCCAAGTCAAAGGATGTATGCAGCTGTGTGAGGCTGGTTTTGGAGATTTTCCTTGGCATACATCCTGTGGCATAAACATGTGAAATACAAGCTGTAGATGGAAAATCTATAGACTCACTTACAGCCGACGAAATTAGAGGCTTTGGCAGGTTTATGGAAAGACACTCGCTTCTGTCCTATTTACAGTACTTTGACTTAAATATTGGAGGAGAAAAAGACAAAGGACTTCCTATTTATTAGATCAGAGGCTTAGAAAACATGGTGTTCTGTTCACTAATTATTTTTTTGTTAGAAAATCCGAGTTTTTCCTTGACTGTATCCTAGCACATCATGAAGGAAATAGCTTTGATTCGGCTGCTCATAAATCCGACAAATCATCGATTATCTCATGAATCAGTGAGTGCTTAAATTGATTTAAAAAAGCATTTGCTCTTGGCACATTTGAGTCTTTTTTAAATGCAAAGTTTGCATCTTTTATGTATGTTAATGTAAGATTGGCAGTTTAATTTGCTTCCCCACCTGTGATCCAGAGCAGCAAGCTTATTGCATCTGTCTCTGTCTTGCCTGTAGCTACATAAAGGGACTGTGCAGGGAAAGTGTAAAGGAAACCTACTGACACTGTTCTGTTCAGCAGCTCTATACAGTCTAATCCTGCACTGTCATTCGTCACTTCACTCCCCTTCCTTATGGATTTCAATAGCATCAATTGTGTCCGTGGGTTTAGAGTGTTTTATGCCCTCTAGACAGTGGACTCAAATTCCTTAATTGCAAACAGTGGTGAGGTGGGTGGACCCCCAACCTTTGATATAAGATCATTGTCAGTATTTTGTATCATTTTCCAAATCGGAGATAAATCTGACAAAGCCAGAACTCTTTAGCCCCAAGCTATCTGTCCTGCGATGGGCCACCACCTCTGCACAGCTCGTTGTTGGCTCCTGTACACACAGGGTGCAAGACCGGTTCACCACAAGCGTGGGCTGCTCAGCTTTCAAGGTCACTGACTTCAGACACATACCTCAGCTTTATCATCCACAGACCCAGAGGGCCAGTTTGCCTCTAATATAGGAAGGAATTCTATTCATTACACACTATGTGCTCCCATCCAAATGACGAGGCTGATCACTATGCTGATTTTTGGCTATAGTACACAGATGACATCAATTGGAAGCATTGAAGTTAGAGGAAAAAGTTAATTTGTTGAATGTCAGATCATTGAGATAATTTAGATTATTTGCTCCAGGGAGACTTTGGCATACCTTGTTAATGTCAGGGACTCCTGGCTGAATCCCAGTATCCTCATTTTACCCTGTCACTTTTTGCATGGCTTCTTGCACGTGCACCGTATACATAAAAAATCATATACTTGTAGGCATGACCTTCAGTTAGCTCTGGTTGTTGTGACTGATCCTTAAAATCCCCCTAAATGAGAAATACAGCTGATCATTTCATGGTGTATTAACACTTGAAGCTTGAGCGCTAAAGAATGAGCTAATGGTATAACCTGACTTGCTAGCTTAAGCAATGCTTGCTGGGGATAGCTAGAATGATTAGTTTGCAGTTAAATGTATCTGATCGACCAGCTTACTAGCTTCCAACTACAAGTGAAATCAGAGAGATAGGACAATGGAAATGGGGGGTGGGGGGTGGCAGCTAAAGAAAGCTATGAAGAAGAAGACCGGGGAAGTTGAAAGCGCTGCTAGTTTTGTTATTTCTTGATTAAATATAAGTCTAGTCAATTGCTACTGTGATGAAACCTAAACATATGTCCAAAATGGATTTTTCTGGGTCCAATCTAAATCTCCCACCTAAAGCTTATGGCAAACTAATTTTACACTCCTGAAACAAATGCCATGAGATTGTCTGCCACTCATTAAAAGCAGTGGCAGAGGAACAGTAGAGATGATTGTGGGGAACCCTTTTTCTTGAATCGTCTCTATTTCATGAGATCATAAAGAGGGAAAACAAGAGCAGACAGCGTGACAAGCCAAAGGCTAACAGCCAGTAGCCATGGATGGATTGAAATAGAGGAGGGTGATGGCTTCTCATTTCTTGGAACCTAACTGGCCCTCTGTGGAAGGAATCTCTTGTGTAAAATTGCATTTGGGAATCCTGGCTAAACAGAAAAAGGCTGTATGATTAACAATGTCAAGAGTTCCCATCCTGCCTCACTGTTGAAGTAGAGGTTGTTCTTCCTTTTGCAGTTGGTCTTGGAATAAAGCCAAATGAGGTATCAGGAAAACTAGCGGATGAACTGTTGAGTATCACAGATTTAGCTTTAACTGTTACAAATAACCCTGCAGGACTTTATGTTATCTCTTCTCTCTGGTACTGTGTTGTTGTTTTTTACTGTAGTTCAAAATAAATGTTTCCTTCAGCGAGCAAACTGACCTCTCCTTTTAATAGCCAGAACGTTTGCGAAATCGAAGGTGAGAGAAGTGAGTCTTTGGCAAAAGTGTTGTTTGAACTGAGAGAAAGTAGAGCAGGGATGACGCACAAACCCAAGTGTCAGATCTGAATCCAACATGGCAAAGCTTTTGTTAAAATTCATCACGGCAGAGAGGTAAATCAGGTAGATATCCGTCTGAACACTTCAATTCTTAACATCAAACACTTGAGTCAATTACACTGAAGAGGAACAGAGACTCTGTAGTCACTGCCACAATGTAGAAGACATTTACAAACTCATTTGTATGGTTTTCAGGTCATCACATGCTATGAAATACTTTGTAACACATTGACTTCCCAAATTTATATTACCATGCTAAGTTTAAGTTGAGCTGATGCATGGAGGTACTGGGCAGACAAATTAACCATTGTTCTATTTAACTTGGAGCCGACCAATTAATCGACCGGCCGATATTATCTTATCTCGCGACTATCAGTATCGGCTAATTTAATCTCCGAAATGTGCCGATGTTACTCTTACTTAAGTTTTTGTTAATTTTATAAAGTTTATTTGTATAATTGTTCATTTATGAGTAAAAAATTGTGTTCCAGTGCACCGTTGTTATTTTGGCCGATAAAGGCTTTTGTTTAACTGTAAGTGTTTAATAACAGCATTTGAGGGATTAACGCAAAAAAATTTGTTTGTTTATATATATCTACTTATCTCCAAAGCTCTAAGATAAATCTAAGAAAGATATTGGACGATAGATCGGAATTGGATTTTCTCAATATCAGTATCGGCCCCAAAAATCTCATATCCGTCAGGCCCCACTTTACAAAGATTAAGCATTACACTTCATTAAAATAAACCAAAATTATCTAAATTTTATATTTATGTTTGATAAACAAATACGTATTTGTTTTCATTTGGTGGAAAACCATGGTAGTAATAATTCTAAGCTTTGGAGGAATTCAAGCCAGCTGTTTACCCTTTGCTTCCATTCTAAATACTAAGCTAAGCTAATCACCCTTTGACTCTCATTTCATATTTACCACAGAGACAGAGTGTTATTTTTCTTCTCATCTTGCCCTCAAGGTATGAAGATTTGTACAACTTTTATATTTTTTTACTTCTATTGTATTGCTCTGACGTTTCACAAATTTGTTTAAACAACGAACCCAAAAATCTAATTATAATCACTGATCTTAAATACACTAGAAACTTCTGCAAAGTCTGTGCACCCTTCAGGTGCAGAGTGACTGTGAGAAGTGATCTGGGCTGCGGATGTGATATAAATCAACTTTATGAGTACACTGGAGCTGTGAGAAGCTGTTTAAGAATGCCCTCCCAGACAAATTCCACACAAATAAATCTTTTCAAGCCACAAAACAAGCCCGATGGCACTAAGATTATACACAGTGAGTGTGCTATTTACATTGCAGGCGCTCACAGGGTTCAATCATTTAGTCACAGAATATAAAATGTAGTGACACACTGCTAAATGCAAAGAGTGTCTAGCTCACACCAGTAATTAAGAGTCTGGTGGTTTTGATGTTTTCTGATCATAATGAGAGAACAGTTTCCTCAAACGGAGTTAGGCTTCATTAGGAAAAAAAATTCCAATTGTGTCTTCTTAATTAGGCCAGGAATAGATTTGAGTATCACGGCATGGTGTCCTGCTTGAAGTAAGGGTGTGGCTGCCACTTCATCTTTTATGAGCTCACTTTATGTGTGCAAAATGGCATCTTTTATGTTTATATTAAGCATATATACATTATGTTGTGGTTCATCAGGGTGAGAACACAAGAGTTGGGAAAGAGTTTTTTGAGTTCCAATTGACAGCACTACTGTGAAGAAGCAAAGAGGCAGTTTGTTACGCAAGACTGGGAAAAGCTACACAATTAAACATAAGCAGAAATCAAAGCTATCCACCTTTGTTCTCCGAACATTCTTACGTTGGGTCTTTGGCTACAGGGTTTGGTCAAAGAGTGACACTGATGTGGTTGTAACTCTACTGGGGCTCCTAAAAGCAGACATGGCACGACCGTTTCTAGGTAACACTGTGGACATGGAGATCGAGTCTGAACGAAGAATGCTAGAAAGCAATGAAACATGGTGGCGGACAAAAGGCTATCAGTGGAGTAAACGACCGCCCTGTCCCTAAAATCAAACCTGTGTACAGACATAGAAGACTCCTTATAGTAACCAAAAGTAAATCAGTCAAAACGTACTATTTGCACAAAACTGCGAACTTTAAAGTGACTGTGTGATTGCACAAAGGGAGTGAAGTAAACTTGGTAAGAAGACGAAGAAATATGGGCCTGCGGAGACTCGAATATTACATCTGATCTCATCGTCCCCTTCTGAGAATGATTGAGGGTGAGCTCTGTGCTTGTAATAATTTGTCACACACGTGTCTACAGATAAAAAATGCAGAGGAGGATAATAACGCAAAACACAGATTGTGTTGATATCTTGTGTGAGTCTTGTGTAAGTTTGAGCATGTTCTCGGTAATGTCTGTGCGTACGAGAATGAACATAGCTTTGAACTCACAGTAATCTCCTGGCTCTGACCCAGGAGCTCCAGCTGCTGTTGGATCTCTTGGAGCCGCCGGTCCTGCCCTCTTCTCTCCTTTATATCCTGCAGGACCTCTTCTCCTGGTTGTGGGTCCCCATCGCACGTCCAGCCAACCTGTGAGCCGCTGCCCTGATACACAGCAGATACAACTGGTTCTAATAGGGAGCAAACGACTCATCTCACATGTGGACAAGCTTGGGTGCTCTGCTAGCTTATGGCTGACACTCAGAAACATTTAAACAGGGATCAAAACCATATAACAGTTCATCATTTATGTGAAATGTTTCCATTCTTCAATGACTTTTAGTTACAGTTTGCTTTTGAGTAAAATGTCACCATTGTAGTATGTCTTAAAGATGTGGCAATCAACACCACATGTTCTTCCTTCCTTTTACAGACAGCCAACATAAACCATGTAAACACTATGAGGCCATAGAAAGCCTTAGTCCTTAACCACAGTCCATACAGTGTCGTCAATACATTCAATGTATCAATGTGCACTGGTGCGACACACTGAACCAAATGTCTGCTTTAAAAGCAAACTTTGAAAAGTGGTCAGGAGGAAGTGTGAAAGTCATGCCTTGAGGACCATCTACACTGCTGATAAGAGGCGTGTCTTAGTGATTGAGAATTACTGAAATCATAAATAAGATAAAATTAAATTACAGAAAGTATCATGAAAAGGCTAGCAGGGTGCGATTGGAGTCCACATGTTAGTGTGTTACCTGTAAAGAAAAAAACAAGAAACAAAAAAATAAGAATGCTAGGGAGATACTGATAGATATTGATTGGCGTTTACAGCAGCCAATAGCAGTAACTGTAGATGGAAGGTGAAAACGCTACCATACACCATGCCAGTCATGCTGAAAGTGTGTTGAATCATGGAGAATTATAGTAGTGAAGCGATTCTGCTGAGCTACTCTTTTTTTTTAATCAAACAAGAGCTGATCTCGCTCATCTCATCTGACAAATAACTGGAAAAAGTATATTGTTTGGGAAGGGAAAAAAACATCACAAGCATTATAATACTATGGCTTGTATTTTTAGAAGATAAACTCCAGATGCAGTGAGATAAAGTGGTATAAAAATCAAAATGGTTAGCAAGAATATGCTAAATGGCTTACTAGCTTGAATACTGCTGAATCCCTGGAAGAATTCAAAGAAACTGTGTGTCATATATACTCCAAAAATCTTTCTTAAGTGAACCGTGTATAAATGCCCCTCAGTGCACAATAAACTGTAAATGGTAAATGGACCCATTCACACCAAATTCCCACACACTGATGGCAGAGGTGGCTATGTAAAGTCCATCAGCTCTAACTAAGTCATTGACGTAGCAGCACAAGCCATTTGGAGTTCAGTGCCTTCCAGTAGACCTCGACATCTGACAGCAGGAGCTGGGGATCAAAACCCTTGACCTTCCAGTTTTGAGACAACCAGCTCTACCATTGAGACACAGCCGCCAGATTTTTAAAGTGTTTTCCAGGAAACAACAAGCTCTTAGACGTCATAAAGAATACTTACAAAAAGACTGCCACTGGGATTTAAAATGTATGAGATACTAAATAAAACAAGACATCTAGTCTGCTGTCATTCAAATGTTAAACAAGTCTGTCACATACCTCACTGATGCTGAGAAGCTAAGCAACAATGAAGGATAAGCTTCAGCAGATGTGGCTAGATGAATGGAACTCATTCGCTTTACTATTTGTGGCAAATCTGAAAGGGTAGGTCAAACTGTATCCATCCCCACCCACTTAAAATTACTTTCCTGATAATTAAAGATTTTTAAAAATAGAAAATGGAATTGTACTGTAGAGACTGACCAGTGAATGACCTGTGGTAGGGCCATATTTGGACTGCCTAGTCAACACAGCTACTTTAAAAAAAGCAGCAGCAAGGTTGAAAAATGGTTTGGTCTGAGAGAGGATGTTGCCAACCGCAGGCCTGTTTTAGAGTGTCAGTCCAGCGCCTTGTGGTTGAAATCTCCATCTCTCCTGGTTAGTCTAGTTGCCAGGCCGGCATATGTATGATCTAATAATGTTGAAATTGATGGATACTTCATAAGACGTCGACGTCTCAAAAGAGACGTGCACACAGGGAAATGGTAGGTTACTGGAGACAGCGGGATCAAGCAGAAATATGAAGCTAAACACTGAGTTACTAAATCTATTATGACATCTATGATAGGATGGGATCTCAGTTAAACACAGAGGGGAGTTCAGTATGTTTAAAAGAATAATTAAAGCTTTGCCCACTTGACTAATATCACATATTACACATACACAGATTTAAGGAGACTGAAAGATGGCAGTGTGACTAGACTTTACGTTTAAATCTTCGAAGAATTTCCTCCTCTCAAGTGTGTGGCCGCTTCACCTAGCATTGCCCCCTGTCTCCCAATAGGATTATAATGACAGCTTCTATCTGAAGCCTCTTTGAAGCGGCCGTTACTTGAGCCCTTGAGTTAAGGCTACCTCATCCAGAGTACAAAAGCCAGGACCAGAATGGGATCAGACTCCTGTCAGGCACCAGAGTGAGAAACGCAGCATCCTAAGCAGGGAAAATAAAAATCAGAGTCTAGCTTTACCACCGTCCTCACACCACTAAATGCATGTTTCCAAAAAAGCCCAAATCTTTGGGGAGAACTAGTTTATTTAATTTGAAAAAAAAAACAGCTGCACTACTTTTCAAGAACTTTACACCAAAAACTCTGAAATTGGCTGCCAGGCTATGCGGTGATAAAGCTATCACTCAGCAAAGTTTGAATGAATTTGGCATGTGTGTCACATATTTAATAGTTAACCATTTGTTTGTGGCTAAATTAGCACCCAATGAATCCTGGCGGTTATCAAGCGAAAGCCCACAGTCTCTCTATATAAACATGAATGATTTTAACCTTATTACAGCTTAGAGAGATGGTCTCAGAATTATACTTGTTTGCCAGACAAGTCTGTTATAACTGTATCTGTGACTTAATCTGATATTTAAATACATAACATTGAACAAGCTTTAGTACAATGAAGGACATTTAATATAAAAACTCGGAAGTCGGGGTACTGGTGCACAGTGGTTAGTGCGTGTGCCCCATGTACGAATGCTTTAGTCCTGGGTGGCCCAGGTTTGAATCCGACCTATGGCTCCTTTCCCGCAAGTCATTCCCCACTCTCTCTCTCCCCTTGATCTCCAACTCTATCCACTGTCCTATCTCTCCAATAAAGGCACAGAAAACTCAATAATACATCTTAAAAAACTCATTGTGTTCTTTCATAAATGCTCACAATGGCCATGTTAACATGCTAATGTTTAGCAGTTGTAAACCACCTTACCCCACTTTATGAAGTAAGCATCCTAACATGTGCTAATAAGCACTGAAAACAAAGCATACTTGAGGCTGGTTGGAATTACTTTATCAGGTGTTTTGTGTTACACCAAAGAACATTTTGATATGATGATGGCAACAGATGACACAGTGCAAGATTTCTCAATTAACTGTGGTAAATCCTGCACAAAACATTGATGTGTGTGCCAAATTTCTTGGCAATCCATTCAACAACTCAAATATCTTATACAAAAAAACACAACCTTAGATTGGTTTCAGACAAAACGCAGGGTTCGCCAATATCAGTAGGCCTCACCTTGTAGAAATAAGGAAAATCTCTCAACAAAAATGTAGTGCCAATCCTTCAAGTAGATTAAAAAGATGCTTTACAGGATAGCAACCTTGAACTGCTCTTGGCCTCATTGGAAAGCTAGGGGACAACCAAAACACCTTAGATGACCCAGAACATTTTGAATTGAATTCCGTTTTGTGTACCATGAATGTTGGAGAAGAAAATATCACAGCTTTCAGTTTGTACCAAGCACAGACTCACAAAAAATCACATCAAAACACCAGTTTTATCTGTGTCCGTCATGAAAGGTCAATCTGCTCTGATTTGATTCTAATGCATGAAATTAAATGCCTGTGATCAAGCAGGTTTTGATAATGTTGTAAAAACTGTTTATGATTATGTATTGGCTTTTAGCAGAGACAATTGAAAGGATTATGAGAATGTAAGTGTTAAGCAGACATGGTTCGTTTTCTGCTCCATAAAAGACTATTATTTGCAGACTATTATTTGCAGCATGTGGTAGCCAGTGTTTCTACAGGAACAATCGATTAAGCAGTACTAATAACTGAATTCAACCAGTTTGGATCGTTTTCCAATGTATTGGGAGAACTAAACAGAAAATTAGTCTCTTGTCTGTGTCAAAGTATAGATGATTCACTTCTTGGAGAAGGGAATAGTGTTTCTTGACCTTGATCGACTCCAGCGATTGTTCTCATACATTACGGTATTTATGCTTCTTCAGGAATGTGTGCAAGTTTTACCTCTATGTTAGGTTAGGCTGTGTGACTCTCAAACAAAGCAGGTGAGAAAGAGAGATCAGAGTTCAGCTTATCTGAACATCAGCAAAATGCTGGTAACTGGCTCTCCATGATGTAGCCAATTGACATATTGTTGAAGATGTCCAATAATCACATCAACTATTTGGGTCACAAGAGCGCTGGGAGGCCACGAAGATTCAGACTCTGTTTTCTTTAAGAATGAAAAACATGTCAAACATAATTATCTTTCAGGAGGAAAGTATGTCAGCCTATTGATGACATATAAAATGAATGCCTTTGAATTCAATGCTGCATTAGTGTCAAGAGTTAATATAAAGTGCAGCATTGTATGTATGACATTGACTGCCAAGTGCCCTTTCTGAATACAGAATCAAAGTTATTAAAAAAATGAAAAGCTCATCCGTGCATGTTATGACATCTCCTGAGAAGCTGTCCTTGTCTTACCCTGTGCTTCCCGTTTTGTTTTCTCACAAAGTGAGGAGTTGTTTGCCATTCCTAGAAGCAAAACCATCATTAGTAGCTCATTTGTATGACTTTCAGAAGTCTTGAAGCAATGTCTTCATGTGGCGGTCATTGATAATCAGCTAATGAGTCCAAATAAAAGCAATGCATTCCATCCTAAAGTTGTCATGGGGTTTCAGTGAAAAACATCTGCAGTGTTTCCGCCTGTAACCAAAGTGACAAAATAGGAAACATTTTAAAGCTTATAATATGTTTGTGATTAAAAACAAATCAC